AAGCAACTGAAGGGGAAAATGGTTTATTTCAGTGCACAATTCCAGGTTTCATTACCATGGGGAACTCAAGACAGCAGGAACTTGAAGCAGTGACCACACTGTGTCTACAGCCAAGAGCTGAGAGGATGGGTTCGTGCATGCAGCTTGTGCTCAACTCCCTTTCTCCACTCATGCAGTTCAGGATCCCCTGCACAGGGAATGGTGCTGCCTTCAGCTGGCAAGACTTCCCACCCCAACTAATGTAATCACGGTAATCTCCAAGACACGCTCAAAGGCCAATGGGATGTAGGAAATCCCTCACTCAGTCTCTTCTCAGGGGATTCTAGGTTGCGTCAAGTTGACAACAGACCTAATTATCATACTTTGTTTGCTGTTTGTTTGTTCTGAGGCAGGGTCACGTGTAGTGCAGGTTGACCTTGAACTCCCTGTATAGTGGAGGATGGCCTTGAACTCAGGATTCTTAGGCCTCTACTTCCTATAGTGGGATTCGAGGGTAACAGTAACCTGGTTTTATTTGGTGCTAGGAGTCAAACCCAGGGCTTCATACATATTCGACAAGAACTGTACCACCTAAGCTTTATCCCCAGCCCATAAAGGAACACTCTTACATATCAAATATCTTGATTCAAAATGAGAGACCATTTTGAATTTGATACTTTTTTTTTTGATAAATGCCACTTGGACGATCTGTTCCCTTCTACAGTCTTGAAAGACACCCCATCCTCCATCTAATTTCCAAACAATGGGGGCAATAAAACTCTCATACTTAGGAGGCAACTATAGAACACTATCATGGGTAATCGTGTATTATTATAGACTTCAGAACAATCAACCGCTTTTGCAAGCCCTTGGCTGTGAGCGACCTAGCACAACAGGATGCGGTTAGGCAGTTGAAACTCAGTGATTTTGGGAGCTCTACTGGGCAATGGGTTTGCTGGCAATGTTAGGAAATTTAGTTTAATTAAAGAATATATTTAATTAATGACTACCATGTGCAAGATATTGTGCTAGGTGCACAGAGATTATAGCTGTTTGCCGTGAGTGTGCGTTGCCTTACAGACTTGGACTGAAATAAACCCGGTCTAAGCTCCGTTCTGGAAGGACTTTGATTTTCCCACTGACAAATGAATGGATTTGAATTATTAGGTAGGGCTCACTTCCATCTGGCCACCTAACGCAGTACCTCGGAGGGTTCTTAAATGAAGCATTTGTTGGGAAAAGACCGAGCCAAATGAGACCCCAGAAAGAATAATGCACCCATTGGCATGCGGCTCACGTTGCAGTCTCGAAGCACACAACTGTAAACGGCATGTACTGGGTTCTGAGGAATGATTCTACGTCCTTGTTATTCAGATGCTAGTGGAAGCCATGGGAAGACAGGGGTTCTGAGGTTGTGGGTTGCCTGCATCTTCCATGGATCTAGTTGCGACTCTTTCCTGTCTCTGGGCCGAGGGGAGGCTTTTACACGCTGCATCTGTGAGAGCAGTACTGGTGCATTTTCTGCACAAGTATCCTGAGCTACCTGTCCTTTTAGTAAGAAGATGGGAGGGAAGCAGCTGGTGCCTGATAGAAATGCAGATTCTGTTTTACAGAGACTCAGGCTCCGTGTGCTCCTGTTTAAACTAGTACCGCAGTTTGTTTTCTCTGGAGAGCCTTTGGGGCTAGTCTTGACAAGGTCAAGCAGGGCAGAAGCAGGAAACCCTCAGATGGAAACCCCTACAGAAGGGACCTGGTAGGACAGTCGGTCTTAATTTACTCCACTCTAGTTCTTCAGGTCTCCTCGTTGCTCAGTAATAGGCGACTGGTCTAAGTGCCGTACCCACATTTCCTCAGTGCTGTTTAAGATGCTAAACTGGAGTCAAGTCTTCTCTTGAATTGTAAATTACTGCTCACTGATATCAGAATTTGCTTCTGGGTAGGGAAGATAGCTTGGTCAGGAGCATCACTTGTGCCAGAGTGGAGACCTGAGTTCAAATCCTCAGAACTCCTGTAAAGAACTGTGTGTAGTCACATGCCTGTAACCTCAGGTGTGTTGTCCAGAAGGATACTATGGGGCAGAATTCCTCTTCCTGCTCAATAGCTGTGGCCGATCTTGCTGAAAATCTAGGAGTCACCCCAGGTGGTGGTGCACGCCCTTAATCCCAGCACTCAGAAGGCAGAGGCAGGTGGATCTCTGTTAGTTCAAGGCAGGTCTGAGACCACCAGAGCTACACAAAGAAACCCTCTCTTGAAAAACAACAACAATAATAATACTTCTAGGAGCCAGCAGAGATAAACAGAGGTAGGGTTTTTCTCCTTGGTTCTTTTGCCCAAAGTCTATCTCATGAGTCCCTCTAATAAACTTAACAAACACAAATAAAAAGCTTGTCCTTGAAAGCAGATCCCTCCTTCATGATGGAGGTTGACCATACCCCAGTACAAGCCCCAAACACAAGCAGGGATACCTTGGCCCTTAGGTAGTTGCTATACAGCCAGCTCCCAAACACCATGAGGTTCCGAGTTGGTGAGAGCCGAAGCGTGTTTATATACCGACTCTAGAGACGTAGAGTTAATTATCTTCAAACTAGGCAAGTTCCCAACTCTCCCGGAGAAGTTTGTTTATGCCTAGTCTAACTCAGGGCACTGACTGCACTCTCTGATTTTAATTCCAGGTTTGAGAAATTGCGAGGCATTCCTTCAACGCTAATGAAAAGAAGCATACTGAATTAGCAACAGCTTGTAAGACGCCTGCTAAAGAAATCCACAAGGCTCTTGCTTTGGTTTCAAGAAGAAAAGGTTAATGCACTTAGCTTCTTGGTGACACTTAAGAGGTCACCAAGACCATTTCAATCAAGACTGGAGGTATAGCACCCGCTATCACAAACTGAGTGCAAAGTGACAAGTATTGACTCATGTGCTACACACACGTGCACTGGCATTTAATCTTCATGAGAGTCCTATGCAGCAGTGGCTTCTACCGACCTCACCTTCCAGGCAGCTGAATGAGACTCAGTGGGATCACACGGTAACCAGTCTTTGCCTTGGGACCTGTAGATGGATGCATATCTGCCATACCCGGATGAGAAGCCTGCCGCTCAGAAAAAGAATTAGACTCAGGGACCTAGGAAGAGGCTGGATGTCTCGATGTGAGCCTGATTCATTGCCCTACATCTGACATTGCCTAGTGCCTTCAAAATTGTCTCTTAAAGGGGCTGAAGAGATGACTCGTCAGTTAAGAGTATGTGCTGTTCTCTCAGAAGACTATGAGTTCGATTCCCAGTACCCACATGCGGCTGCTCACAACTGCTTGTAACTCCTGCTCCAAGGGATTGACAAATGTGTGGTCCACATAAAGACAAATGAACACGCACATACACACAGACATACAAATGCACATAAAAATAAATATTAAAAATCTAAAAACATACTTAAAAATCACAGTTATAAAAAATTCTCCATTAAAGAAATTAAAATATTTTACTTATGAGTTCAGAAAGAATCATGGCAGAGAGAGAGAACAGGGTAAGGAGTTTCTCCCTGTTACAAAATCGACGAGATAAACATAGAGACATTTGTTTCTGAGCAAGGCAGTTCACTGGGGACACTGAAGAAGGCTGCACTTTATCACTCAGCTGGAATGGCATGTAAAGAGAGGGACAATGTAACCAGAGCTTAGTTGGTAGAGTACTTGCTTTGTGTGCATGAATTCAAGGTGCCATAAACCAGCCAGGATAAGTATATAAGGAAAATAATTAATTTTTCACAACTACCCTCCAAAATGGGCACGTTTATCTTATTTGGAGAAGCAGAAAAGGAAAGCACAGAAGGACTAAGTGTCTCGCCAAGGTCACAGAGAAAGCAGCCCACCCCACACCCCCAAGGAGAGCAGCAGCAAGGGCTGTCCTTTTCACGACTATCACGTTTAGTCGGTGACATTTGATGGAGGCTCAGGCTTCACTGCAGGCTGTCCCGAGGGACAACAAGAAAAGTCCTGTTGGTAGGGGCAGAGAAGATGTAAGGCATGGACTCTCTCCCTAGGAGGAAAAGGATAATGAATGTTAGGACCTGGCCACGTCAGAAACATGGATGAACACACTGTGTCTTTCCACGGTGTCTGATTTTCTGGAACAACAATTCCGAAGGGGCGACAACTTGTCAAGTATTCTCACGTTCCTTGACAGCCTCTTCCAAGGCCGATGACAGTTGGGTTTCAGTCCTAATCATTAACTCTCAGATCATGCATTCCACAGCAATTCCCTCCTCCTCTTCTCCCTCCCTCACCCCTTCCCCACCTCCCCTTTCTCTATATGTAGGTATGCACGTAATGTAGGTTAAAGAATAGCTACAAAGGGTTAAAGAGGCTGCAGCTGAGTTCAAGGAATTTCAGAGAGTTCTGAGCTGCTGAACCCGGGAAACTGATGTGGATGCAGCAAGATCCAGAGCAAACATTGCTGCTGCTGCTGCTGCTGCTGCTGCTGCTCTACAGGCAGCTGCAGGGCCAGAGGAAACTGAAGATTCCGAGTGTGAGAACGCAGTAGAGGTGACGGTCAGGATAGGAGCCACATGGACAAATGGATGGACAGATGGACAGCAGGTCCACATGGACCACTGGACGAATGAACAGATGGTGGCCGGAGTAGTCCTTGTCAACAGCAGAGACTGAGCTGCAGAACCTAGCCTAGTTAGGCGTTCTCTGCCCGTCGGTCCCTTGATCCGCACAGGGCTTTAGATGACAGGTTGGCGCGGCCACCACCACCCCAGCATTAGGTGGGCTTCTCGCTATGGGATCAGGTAAGGAAGCTGCACACTTTCCTCGGTATGACATGTCTGGTAAGTTCTTGGGCTCGATTTTCCTCATCTGACCTAATCTGCTCTTCTCTTCCTACAGTCCCCCATTTACTTTGATGAATGTCAAGGGGAAGCGTCTACTTTTAGAAATAAGTTTTTTTTATCATTCTGCACCTCGCGGGTGGTGAGAGACTGAAGGACCTGTTCACATAGACCCCAAGATGCAACGTCATTTCACTTCCGAATTTGCGCTGAAAACGGAGCCATGGTCAACTGGAATCCCTCAGGGCCAGGCACAGGCTGGGCAATCACTGCTTTGCAGGGTCTGTGCAGACTCAGGGTGGAGCACAGACTGACCTCAACAGTAAGCAGGCCATAGTGCAGGAGAGGGCTTCCATTAGGAGCATGGAGCCTTCCAGGCCCGGCTGGCAGGGAATGGTTCTGACATCTGTGTGTTTAGCTTCACAGCTGTGGAATGTTTCAACCAGAAACTCGGAGGGAAAGATGCTCCCCCACCAAGAATGACCAAACGCCATCACGAACTAGACGTGGAACAGATGCTGTGCAAAAAGTGTTAGTGGAGGAAGGTGAGCCAGAGCGAGAAAGGAACAAAGGGAGGCAGGGACTGGAGTCTCCTTCCCAGAGCCAGAACTCTAACGCAAGCTGGGTGTCGGCAGTGACAGGGACAGCTTGTCTGCTCTCGTGAATGATGCATGGTGCTCCAAGGATTTGTTTGATGTTGAAATGTTTTCTTGAGCAAGAGTCACAAAAGGAACGATTGTTGCCTGACATTGCTTCATGTTTATGAGACCGTGATGACCGGCGTGGTCACTTCGTGATGGGGCGGTGAGCGCGTCTCTTGCCGTGTGCTGCCTTTAGCCATGTCTTGGGCTTGTCTCTCCAGTTTAGCTGCTGCCCTGACCTGTATGTAACTAATGGCATTTATGTGTTTTAGGAATTCTAAAGAAAAACTTCCCACTTAACAATTCTAAAAAAAAAAAAAAAAAAAAAAACCACGCAGTTTCAATAAAATCTCCTTAAAACCCCATCAAACAAACAGAGAACCCTTGAGATCGGCACTCTGGGGCTTATCAAGATGAAGCCAGCTCCAAAAGGCCAGGGACATTAGCAGCTGACTCAGCCAAGGAAATCTCGAGCCAGGATGTACAAAGCCAAGGCCAGGGTTTAGAGAGGGAGCCAAAGGGCCCCAGGGTATTTGTCTCCCAGCTTCTCTCTGTGAGTGTTCCTGTTGCTATGGGGACAGAAGGCCTCTGGCAGGGAGAACTATTCTATCCATCGCTGGCTACACGTGGAGGTGCCTTGCTTTGCTGTTGTTGTTTTCCTTGTGTTGTTTTTCAAACAGCACCTATAATTTCAGCCAACTCAGAACACCGATACCCAATTAAGAGCAGAACGGAATGGAAGCATCGTACTTGGGTGCTTTACCCTGGCATTTTCCTCTTCTGGGGAGAATGAGAAGTTAGAAACAAGAATGGGGGGGGGGGTGTGAGACACAGTTAACCCACTACAACGTTCTTTGTTCCTGGGCGTCTCTGTGCTGCCCGTGTGGTTTCCACTGCTGTGAGCAGGCTTAGCAGGCTCCGCGCCTCCGCCACCAGCACAAGGCCAAGCTGCTGTCCTCAGAGCCTCTTTCCAGAGCTGAGTTCCTAGAGGACTTTCTCAACCAGCCAGATAGATACATGCTCATTTAAATTCAAGCACGCACCCCCACAGGCTGATCCGGGAGGGAGGGGAGGCTCACCCTGAATTGAATGACAAATAATACGCGTGGCAAAAACAACATCAGCACTTATTTGCCAATGAAAGGACACTGGAAATTATTTCTGATGGAAATATGAAAGATGAAATTCAAGCAGGGAGTGGGAGAGGATTTTTCTTTTTTCTTTCTTAAAACTCGTCAAGAAGCAACTCCATTGTTTCCCTGTAAAAGGACACTTTCTGTCCTGTGTGGGGAACTCAGTGGGCAGGTAGGACCCTGACCCCAGTGGAGGGTGCTAGGCCACTAAGCAGAGTTCATGGGGGGAGGGGGCAGAAAAGTAACTCGGATCTACAGGGGGTTCCCCTGATGGTAGGTCAGCTCAGCATCATTTCCCTTCCTCTGGCAGCTTCCAGTCTTCTGTCATTTTCCCTCTCTCACGCCAGCGTCAGACCCATTATTCCACAGGGAACATCAATCTCGAGAGGCGCCTGCAGCTTTGGGACATGAACTACATCTTGAGATGGAGCTGTTAGACTCTGTCCCCTTTTCATCGGTCATAAGCCAACAAGAATTCACCTGGAGCTGCCAGTGGGTAGGGACTCAGCCATGGGCCAGCCTGCCTGAGGGCCTAAACAATCCGAGTCAGGAGAGGAAGAGTGACGGGTTCCTAACTTGGTCCTATGGACACCTGCATTCGTTCATTCCTGAAGCTAAACTGCCCTGGACCTGCTCTGATGTTCGTTTCTGTATTAGCTACTTTTCTACCTCTGTGATAAAAACACCGTCACCATGGTAATTGATAGATCAAAGGGTTTATTTGGGTTTACAATTCCAGACCGGGAGAATCCACGGTGGCGGTGGGGTGGTGGCGGTGTGAAGGCACAGCAGGAAACCGAGAGCTCATGTCTTGAACAACAAACATAAAACAGAGAGGAAAAGGGCAAGTCTTTTAAATCTCAAAACCCACCCCCAGTGACGTACTTCCTCCAACAAGGCCACACCTCCACCAGCGCCATCCACTGAAGACAAGTATTCGAACATCCAAACCTGTGGGGGACATTGTCATTCAGACCACCGCAGCTACCCGGGGAACTCAGTTCTGTCCAGGTTCCTGTCCCATGCCCTCATGCACTGAGCAAGGTGGACTGGTGGCTGCCCCTAAAATAGCTTGGGTAGTGTGTGTCACTGGGTACCAGAAACAGACCTGAGCTTGAATTCCCAAAGAAACAGGGTCAGGATATAACCACCTTACTTCCAGGGAGTCAGAGCTCAGGGAAGGCTGCTGCGTACCAGGGCCTCGTCTTTCTCTTACTCTAGACTAAGAACTTGATAAAAGTAAGAGTGTCTAGTGAAGGCGGAGAGATCGGGTGCTTAATAAAAGGAATCCCACATTAACTCAGAACTAAAAAAGCAGATCAGTGTTTATTAAGGGGTAGACTTACAAAGTCAGGATGTTCTGTTTGAATGATGGACGAAGATCAGATCCAAAGCAAACCAAACAGCAAAAACGGGGCCCAGGGGCAAGCAGAGAGGAAGGAAGGGGCCCGGACACACTTCCGCATCTGGGTAAGAAGTCCACGAGGCCACGCCCCAGTAGGCGGGTAGGTATTAGCTGTAACCTTCCCGCCGCAGTCTAGGGACCCCAACTGAGAACTCCTGGAGCCCAAACTTTAGGTGTTGACAACCTTAAGACGCCAAAGTATCTGAATACGGACTAGATACCGTTTCCACCACTGGCAAAAATGCCTGAGAGAAGCAGCTTAAGGGAAGAAGAAGTTGTTTTGGGTCACATTTTGAGAGCTGTGAGTTCCTTACCATGAGGAAGGCCGCCCTGCATGCCCTGTGCTGGAGCACATCTCTGGGACTCCTTACGTCTGTGAACCAGGAAGTGGAGGCTGGGCTGGAAGCAGAGTGAAGCTATAACCCTCAAGGCTGGGTTTCCGGTGACCCATTTCCTTCATCTGTGGCCCACCTACCAAAGTTCCAGAACATCTCAAAACAGCACCAAAGGCTGAGGACCAAGTGTCCAGACGCATGAACCTGTGGGGGATATTTTACACTCAAACCGTAACAGGTAAGTACAGTCTATGAACGTATGGGATACATGCGTGCCTTAGTCCTGTCCTGTGGATATCGGTGAGACTTACCTTAACTGACTGTCAAAGGCTACCTAGGAAAATGAGGGCTTGTTAACTGACAAATTAGAGAGTGGCTGTTTGTTTGTTAAGGATCGCATAAGGCATCTATCAGGGTTTATGTAGCAGACATGAGACTTGGGGAAATGATTCTCTCCAAAGTAAGAAGCACAGCCTGCCAAACACCTCAAACAGTATTTACTACAACATGGAAAATGCGATTGTTTGTGCGTGTGAGAGGAACGTGGTGTGTGTGTAGATGTGCTTATCGGCAGAGGTCTGCATCCAAGCACGTGGAGATCCGGGCCAACACCAGGGTTCTCTTTCTCACGCTCCATCTTTAATTTCTGAGGCAGGCAAGCTTGCAAGTTCAGCTAAACTGGCTGGACCAGGGACTTCAGAGATCTGAGCCACCTCTTTCCACAGCTCCCACCCCAACCCCCGTACCACCACCAACCCCGTACCACCACCAACCAGCACTGGAGTTACTCGTGTAACTTCATCCTTTTTATAGGATTACTGGGAATCTGAATAGATGTCTTCATGTTTGCACCCCAGGCACTTTACCAACTGAGCCATCTCCCCAGCCCTGAAAATAAAAAATTAGGTATGCAAGTTAAAACAAAAGTGATAATCAAATTTTAAAAAAGACATTATCAGAAATACAAGTTGTGAAATGGGTAATGAGAATGGTGCTCCTACAAACAGCTCAGTGGGGAAGACCCGAATCCTTGATAGCTTGAACCCTGAACATTTGCATCTTCTTGATCAGTGGTCAGAAAAATCCCCACAGGACTTAGCACTGAGCTCGATTGCCACATTGTCCCAACCCCCCCTGAGACCACCCTACTTGATCTCCTAAGCTCCTCCCACTCACTAAATCTCCAGCTCCTTCCTGCTTAACTTGCCCCATTGCGCTCATCATTCTCACGTGAAAGCAATGTTCCTAAGATATATTCTGGTCATAGGATAATATTTTAGGCCACTTATTAATGAGGAAGATAGAGTTAATTCAAAGAACATCAAAATATAGATTTATATGTAGTCAGTCTGGGGGAGAAAAAAATACTGAACAAGATTAGGTACAAGAGCAGTTCATGTTCTAAAGGGTAACACAATCATAACCTTTAATGTATCTTATTTGCAAGGACCCTCTTCCGCACACACATAAAACACATCATCACACCCCCGTTTCTGTGCACATGTGTACATACGTGTGTGCGTTCATGGGGAAGGGCAGTATGTGTGTATATGAAGGCCAGTGGTTGATGTTGGGCGCTCCTCCATCTCTCTCCTCCTCATTTTTTTAGACAGGGTCTCTCCGTGAACCTGCAGCTCACTGTTTCAGCTACACCGGCAAGCCAGTGAGTTCCCAGGATCCACCTGTCGGTGTTCCTCCAGGACCAGAAATACAGATATCTGCCACCATGCCTGCCTCTTACATGAACGCTGGAGACCAAACTCGGTCCTCACACTTGCTCAGCAAGCACAACCTCACTTCTGAGGTTATTCTTCAGTTTTACAAGCTGGTGAAACATCTGTGTCCTTGCTAATTAAAGTAGTTTTCCTTGAGAGTCAAAGGATGGGTCAGGGTCTTGTTTTTGTTGTTGTTTGTTGGTTGAGACAGGGTTTCTCTGTGTAATAGCCCTGGTTGTCCTGGAACTCACTTTGTAGACCAGTGAACTCACAGAGATCCGCTTGTCTCTGTCTCCTGAGTGCTGAGATTAAAGGCAGGCGCCACCACTGCACTACAATCCAGGTCTTATAAATACTCTCTCACCACTGTTGTGTACCTAGTGCCTAGAATGGTGACTGGCCCACAGATAGAAACAAAACATGGAAATATAATAGAATATGAAATGCTACTCTATGGCTATTGAAAATGGACAGAGTACGTTGTCTTACGTTCTTTCTAAATTTCTATAAACGCACTCTCTCGCATACGGCAGACCTTGGCGTTCAGCGGTTTCCAAGGAAGTAATTGTCACGGAGGGGTTTTATAAAGTCTTGACTTACAGACAGCTGTGCTTGCTTCGATCAGATCCCATACCACAGTCAAGGCCTTTAGATTGTCCGGTCACCATTACTGTGAGCGGGAAACCTCCCTCTGCTGACCCTTTGGGTCAACAACAATCGTGAGTGGAGAGGATTTTCTAAACAGGTGTTACTTTTCTCTTCCATCTTCTACAGCTTCCATGATGTCTGTTTGGACATTAACTGAGTCTTTTTTTTTTTTTTTTTGTATAGGAACAGGACTGAAGGGATGGTTTAAAGAGTGATTTATAGAGCGATTATGACATTTCAAACTGGACAATGAGAGAAATATAAGGGTAACTGCCTAGGCTCTTTCTTTCCGGTCAACTCAAAAGATACAACAGGGATACAACGGCCTTGGTGTTCAAACACTGTGAATGAGACAGCCATGGAGACTTTGAAAACAAGAGGGCAACCTTGATACACTGTAGAGGGGGTGTTCAGGACGGCAGTGGGGACTGCAAGCCTGGAGTTAGACTGGATTCATAAACACAGCTGGATCCTGGGAAGAGTCAGGAGGTGCGCGAGTAACTTAGTTTCCCAGGGTCAGCTTGCTCTCATGTGTGGGAGTATATTTATTAGATATTTATAAGAATTTTAAGGTAACGTGTGTGAGGTGATTAGAACCTGCCTGGTGGGACTTCAATGAATTTTGAGGATTTGGTTATCATTCGTACTTGATAAAGGAAAAGGGTTAAGATAATCTAGTTGGGAGCAGTTATCAGCACATTACCATCACTGATGTAAAGCAAGTGGAGAAGGCGTGTGGTAAGCTGTCTTAATCACCTTTCTATTGTTTCAGTAAAGCACTATGACCAAGACAACTTATAAAAGAGTTTCTTTGGGGGAATGGGTTATAGTTCCCAAAGATTAGGGTCCATAATGATGGGGACAGCATTGGCAAGTGGTAGACTTGGTGGCTGGAGCTCATGTCTCAAAACTACACGCACCAGAGAGGGCTAACTGAGCATGGCAGATGGTTTGGAATCTTAGAGCATGCCCCCAGTGACATAGTTCCTGCATATCTCCTAAGCCTCCCTGGTCAAAAGCCTCTGAACTCTTTCTTGACTATCATGTTAGGGTCAACAGGGTGAGTCAGTACTTCCTAGACCAAATGATAATAATAAGATTATTAAAATTCTATAGAAACTTGAGTATGTGTATCCTTCATTCCCACAAAAAGTGACAAGTTTTTATGCCACAAGAGAAAAGCTCTACACCAGACCAAGTTTGTGATGGTTTTGTTAGAGAAAGGAGGTGTCTTATCCACCTTCCTCACTGCTTCCTGAGGGATGCTATGAGAGGGTAGTCATATCACCATCCTAAAATTGTAAGAGTGAAGCCTCTCTCCCATGGGATGCTGAGTTTACACAACCAGCTCATACGACATGACAATTGATAACATGAAATTAACCTCATTCATAATAAACAATGACATGATGTCATGGAAAATACAGTCTCTGAGCCAAGCAGAATTATAGCCAAATCCTGGTTTGGCTGAGTTACTTGGCCCTATTAATATTACTTTATCTGAAAAAAAAATAATGCTGTCTGTCTCAAAGGGTTATTGAGTGGAAAGACAAGTCCAACTACAGCAGTATACAATATAGTCTGACTCATAATAAAAACTCAAGATAATATTAACTTTCCCTTTTCCCTATTCTATTCTCATTGCCTGTTACGGTCAAGTCTTTGATATTTGAAATCTTATATATTTAACCGGTACTTTCCAAGATAGTTGTTACATTCCCAACTCCTGTGTTTCTTAGAAATTCCAAGAGAGGAGCCAATTTAATACCATGGACCGCTCCTATATATCCTATATACTGTATGATACACACTTACTGGAAGAGCTCCTGTCAAAAGGACAATCTGCCATGATCTCAACATGTCTAGTAGAGTTCCAGAACAACAAACCTCTTGACTTTGTAACCAGTTTTAAGTTCATAGTGGAAATGGCTCCATCAGCTTCTGGCATACAACCCATAGCCCCACCAAGAGACTCACCAGTTCTTGTGGCTAGGTGTTCAAGATGTTATATTACCTCCTCCACTCCTTTGTTTTCTCTACTTGCTTCCAGCTACAGAATTAAACTTTCCATGAGATCAACTAGAAGCCAACATAGTCATAGTTTGTGTGTGTTGAAGAGAGGGTGGAGAGGGAGCTATGAGAAGCACTTAGGCCACTATGATTAGTCGTGGAGAAAAAGCCTTTAGTAAGCGTAAGCTCTGAATTAGAACTATGTCTTAGAGTAGTGATAACTTGTTTGTACAAATAAAGCTTGCCTGAAGATCAGAGGGCTCAGCTAGCCACTAGATAACCATAGAGGTCTGGAGGTCTGTACAGACAGACAGGAAGTGATATGGCTGGGCGGAGAGAGGAAATGATAAGGCATGAGGAAACAGGAACTCAGTCTCTTTTCAGCTAAGAAGCTGTGTAGGTAAGGTGGTTGTGGTTTTGCTTCTTCATCTCGCTGATCTCTCAGCATTTCCCCACCTCTGGGCTTTTGTTATTAAGACCTATTAGAACTTGCACTACATCTAAGAAAGAACAAATACAGATTTAGTTCTTATTATTTTTTCCATTAACATTCTCCATGTCCTTCTATATGACAGAGTCTCAATCATTATTGAAAGAGTAAATTAGCAAATGTTCTCTTTAACTCACTTAGTATGTGCTCAAAAAATGTGAATCTTGTCAGGCAAAAAGTTCACGCTGAAGCATTTTAGGACCCTGAGGAAAAGTACCTTATGGCATGAGGGAGGGTGTGTGTGTGTGTGTGTGTGTGTGCACCCAGAATTAGAGCCTGTGCTCCAATCAATAAGCTAAGACTCAGCAAGGGCAAACAAATGGTTTCCATATGTATCAAGCTGAGAATTGGGGTTTAGGGGCTGGCTGAGCGAGGAATCAGTAATGGTTTGGAAGGCCACAGGGGGCTCCACCGCATAGCAAGGCACGCTGGGCTGGGTGTGTAGATCTCTTACCCGTAGGTCAAGAGGAATGTGTTCATTACTCTTGATCTAGCCTTTGCCAAGTCCAAACCTAGTGGGAACGCTAAGCATATTCCTCTCCGAGTTCAAAATTTCAAAATCAATGCAAACTAATCAAGGAAGTTTCAGAGTAAAAAAAAAATGAGAACTATTAAAAATTTGAAAAATAAGTCTTAGGAGAAAATACATGGAAGATAGCTCATGTTGTGTTTGTAAGAAAGAGACAAGGGGGAGCAATAAGTCTCTAATTATATAAAGTTATGTTACAAAGAAGACGAAAATGATTTATCTCCTTCATACCCAGAAGAGAGCTAAAATAACAGAGGCACTGGCACTGGCCTTGCTTCATGAGCACCCATAAATCTGTGGCTCAGGCAGTTGGCAGCCATTGGCACAGTCAGCCCCACCTTGGGCTAAGTCTGACCTGGATTCACTGTATTACAGAGAGGCTCTGCTCCCATCCCTGCCACCAACATAAATGGGAATACCCCACAGAAACCATAAAAGGAGAGGAAAATGGCATGTCATCTCCAAAAATGATATCAAAGTTAGAATATTGTGTCTTAAAAAGAAAGAATAGAAATAGGGACATATGTGCTATTACCACCATCTTGATTCCTGGCTGTTTATGTGTGACTGGATTGGTGGAGGTTTGGGAGTCATGGCCAGTTTAAGTAGAGGTGTCTATGTCCTGTGCACAGTTTTATTTGGTTAATATAGCCCAGTTATAGGCCTGGAATCTTTTACATTGTCCAAGGATTTTTTTATAAGATGCAAGGTAATATAGTGTACAGGCTGGTTTTATGTCATATTGGTTTAAGCTATAGTCATCTTTAAGGAGGGAGCCTTGATTGAGACAATGCCTCTGTCAGACTGGGTTGTAGGCATTGAGAGAGAGCACTTTTCTTAATTAGTAATTGATGGGGGAGGGCCCAGCCTATTGTGGGAGGTGCTATCCCTGGCCTTTTGATCCTGGGATCTATAAGAAAGCAGACTGAGCAAGCCAGTAAGCAGGACCCTCCATGGTGTCTGCATCAGCTCCTGTTTCTATGTTCCTGGCCTGTTTGAGTTCCTGTCCAGACTGTCTTTGATGATGAACAGTGATATGGAAGAGTAAGCCAAATCAACCCTTTTCTCCCCAAGTTGCTTTTGGTCATGGTGCTGCATCACAGCAGCAGCTACCCCAAACTAGGACCTAAGGCCTTCTTATGGGTCCTGTATCAGTGCCCTTAAGGCTCATGATGCAGACAAAGCCATCAACACTCTACAGAATTCCTGGTGGCTTTCCTCTATGATCTTGAATCAGCTCTCTAGACTCTGGCCTCCTCCTCAGCAAGATGTCTCCTGCATGAGGCTGCATGGAGCTGGCCAATTGTGGCTGAACGGGGAAGAGGCTTAATCCCAATTATT